GGTGAAGTTGACTTTCTCAAGGAGTTGAGAAGTCGCCAGAATTATCGTCGGAGCTCGCCGAAGTTTCGTCGGAGTTTCGCCGGAGCTCAACCAAGGAAGCTAGGACTTTATAAGCTTCATTAAGGTGAGAAGACGGCTTTATGCTTTATAACATTTGCATGAGGCATGAGATTACCTAAAGTAATCAAGAATATGTTTTATGGAATGATTAAAGATAATCAAGTATTTGTTTATGCCATGATTATATATAAAACATATTTGAAAAGCATGTTATATATGTTTGATGATTAAAAATGTGATAAATTATTATGCATGATGTTCCAGGGATCCAAAAAGGTATTTTTGGATTAAGAACTTCAAGAAGTACACGTGTATAAAATTTCACGTTAATCGGACTTTGTTTGGGCGGTCAAACGGGCATTGACCGCCAAGTCAAAGGTTATACCCGACCGGGTATGGGCAAATACCTGCTCGGGTATTAGATAAAAACAGCCCCAGGGGCTACTGCCTCACCACACCCGACCGGGTATGGTTGGATACCCGACCGAGTATTGGGTAAAACACCCAATATGCAGTTTTTGAGTAAGTATACGTGGGCCGTTCGGGTGGGACCCGTCCATGTTGGTTACTAAGGATTTTTATAGGACTATAGGGCTAGGTATTATCCATAATTGCAGGAACAAAAGGTTAGCCATATCCAAGTTAGGGTTTGGTAGAAATAAGGTTGGGGTCGAGTACCCTTGGACGGTAAATGATCCAGAATACTCCAGGTTGAGGTTGAGTACCCTTGGGCGGTAAATGATCCAGAATACTCCAGGTTGGGGTTGAGTACCCTTGGGCGGTAAATGATCCAGAATACTCCAGGTTGGGGTTGAGTACCCTTGGACGGCAAATGATTCTAAATACTCCATATTGGGTTGAGTGCATTGGACGGTAAACGATCCTAAAACACTCGGTAGTAAAGTACGGATGTAGAATATAGCTAGTGAGCTAGACATTCGAGACAAGGATGAGTAAGGTCGGGTAATTAAAGACTTTATCTCTAAAATACTCTTTTTCAGGTAAATGACCTACGGGTTATGTATTTTACAAGTATATATACAGTATGTATCATCAGACGGATTAGTTACAACTATATATATGTATCATTCTATTTTTGGGTCTCGTGTCTGAAACATTAGTTATTCTTCATATAGCTTGCTTGTCACTAGTATTTTTTTCTGTGAAGTACTGACCCTTTCGGGGGCCCTCACTATTTTCAGGTTGAGGCTAGATTCCTACTACCTGCACTTTTGCCTAAGGTGATCATCAAATAAGGAAGACGTGATTCGTGCTTCTCATATCGATTTGAATTTATAATTATGCTCATGGATATTTTAAACAATATTTTCTATTAAAACATTTGGGGGTTTGTGTGCCCGTGTTTGCCACATGTGGCTAAGTATCAAACATACTATTTCCGCATTTGTTTGGTTATGATATTGATGTTGATTGTATGTGTTTACTAATCGGTTTGGCAATAGAATCTATCTGACGCCTTGTATAATCCAATAGGGATGAACTATTGTTGTTCTTATTGGGTTGTACGACGGTTGTCTACGTGGAACGGATGCGGTCCGGGGCGTGACAAATACAGTCGAGGTGGCAGTCGAGGCGGTAGCCGAGAAGGTAGTCGAGGAGGCAGGCGAGATGACGGGTGAGGCGGCCAACAAGGTGAAGGTCAACCCGAATCAACCCATAGCGCCGATTTTGGTATCAACGACTATATCAACGATGAAGACCCCTGAATCTGTAATACCTAGTATATTAAATTTGAATTTTATAATTCTGCGGTATTATTTAAAAATAATAATCTAAAAAATGTTTGTCACGGATGCGGGCCGTGACAAAAAAAAGTAACGAAAATGTTTATCACGGATCTGGTCCGTGACTAAATGTTAAAATTTTAATTTTTTTTCATTTCCTGCTCAAATTTGAAACCGGCAACCTTCTCCGGTGAACCCATTGCCACGGATGCGGGCCGTGACAAATCCGTGACAAAACTTTGTCACGCCCAAACGGTCACGGGAAAAATCAATGACAAACTTACTGTTTTTTGTAGTGATGGGACGGAGGATGTAGTAGTTTTTTAGAGTATACAATATACTACTTCCGTCCCGAAAAGGTTTGCCCGATTGACTTTTCTTGGTCAATGATAGTAAACTTTAGACAAAGATTTTAATTATTATATTTGTATATAATTTATAAATTTATACTTTTATGAAAATATTTTGAATAAGGAACAATTTGATATAATTTTCATATTCAAAATAATTTCGTATTAAAAAATATCATTAGTCAAAGTTGATTGTCATTAATAAAAAAAGACAATTTGTCAAACTTTTTCGGGACGAGGCCGTTGTATAAAGAATTAAGAATTATTCATTCATAATCAAGTTACATCTAAAAACAGGCCTAAAGAATCCGGTTGTGTTTTTATTTTGAGAATACAATTCTTAGCGCTTAAAAAACAAAACAAGATGTGGCATACGTCGACACAACATAACCGCATCGCATGTAAGCAAGAACTACCAAGGAAGAAACGACACCATATGAACATACGACAAAACAGCCTGATACGATTTTTAAAAGATACTCCGTATGTCAATAATGTTAGAGATGAATAAAATAATTTCAGAAAATGAATACGAAGTACAATATTCGATAATGAACATTTTTTCACTGCCACTATTGTACACATATTCCCCGTACCGAAAATATTCGTTAAATTGATTTTTCGTGGTTGACAATCAACTTTGACTAATGAGATTTTTTAATACGAAATTAATTTGAATAAGAAAATTATATCAAAATGTTCTTTATTCAAAATATTATCATATAGGTATAAATTTATAGATTATATACAAATATAATAATTAAAATCATTATCCAAAGTTCGCCATCATTGACCAAGAAAAGTCAATATGACGAACTTTTTCGGGACGGAGGTAGTATAATATTCCTTCCGTCCCACAATGAACTTCACAGTTTGACCTACACACATATTAAGGAAATAAACTTATCATGGGGTAAATTTTACTGTTTTAACACTGTTTCGACACTGTTTGGCGCTATTTTGCACTATTTCGATACTGTTTGACACTGTTTTGATGTAGATTAACTTGTCATTTAAGGAAATGAGAACTTGTTTCTGGGTTATCCAAAAAAGGAAAGTGAGAAGTTAATTGCTATTTAAGAAAGTATATGTTCCCGAATCTCGACCACAACACTGATATTGAAATTAAAGCTAACGGTTATGGTTCACACCTTTACTCTGGTCACAACAAAAGAGCTTACTCCACTTCAACCGGCAGAAACTGCAGAAAGGTGAATTCACGCCTGGATGAGGGGGTGTAAACTGTAAAGTGTGATCCAAAGCCAGTAAATGGCATTAACGGCAGGCCTAAAAGGGCATGAAATAACTATATATGGCATGGTCCCTTCATTGCACATGCTCCGCATTTAAAATTTGTTAGTACCGAACTGGTGGGATCCTATTAAAAACCAACACTTAAAGTTCCTCCATGTAAGAACTAAGAAGGTGGAGTTGCTCGTCCCGCAAGTCCCACACACCGACCCGACAGGATGATGGATGGAGAAGCGGGATCTAAAAGTTTCGAAGTATTGATAGAAGAGTTAACTAAATTAGACTTCAGGTTTAATTGATAAAATTGTATTTTGGCGGATTAGAGTTAAAAATATTTGACTCTTAAAAAAGAGAGCCATTAAAAGTTTGATGTGATTATGATAAGGATTTGAAGTTTTGAATATTGGTGATCAGGGGAAAGGATGGGAATTCCACCAAATTACATTCTGTTGGCGTTTTGTCCTCATTCTTGTAATCACACCATACACCACTGATAGAAAGCGGAACGGTTCAGAAAATTTCTAACATTTTTTTTTATAATCTAGGTGTGGGGGCTTACGCTCCCATAATCCTGGAGTCTATGAACTACCCTCCAAAGCCCCTAGACAGTTAAGTCCGGATCTGATCACAGTCAGCCTCGTCAGTACTGGCTCCAAAGGACGAATCCAGCAGGACTTACATCACCTTTCAGGCTTCTCCTCCCACCACACGAACCCGCTACCTTCATTACCATCCTCTCCCTTCGCAGCCGCTGAGCAACTCCGTGAAAGTAGGAAGAATCATTGGGAGCAAGACCTCCCTCCTCTCCCCTAAATGGGTCTAGCGAGATTCGAACCCGAGACTTCCGCTATGACACGGTAACCTTCCACCCAGTGAGCTGGAACAAAAAGTGCAAAGATATAGAGCCCAACCCGTTTGGTTTAGCTGTTTTTCAACTTATCAGCCAACTTTTTCACCAAACACGTAACTTTTAATTTCGTGAGCAGAATTGTGTAATGAAAAGAAAAAGTAAGGTTGAAGTTACTTTTTTTCTGGCTATATTGATTGAAGTTACTGTAGATGACCATTTTAGCTATTTTTACATATCATTTTTTCTTTATTTTATTAATAAAATAAATTTTAAATATAATCGTTTCATAAATCAACAAAATCAGCTAATACAGTCACTTCAACCAGAATTTCATAAATTTGAGAAGAATCGATCGATTTTGGTATTACCAAATGGGCTCATAAAATTCGTCTCATATGATCGAATTCTTGTAAGATTGAACAATTCTTGTAAAATTTCTGTTGAAAATGTGAACTCCTCATTTTATCAAGTTACCGTTTTAGGATGGAACCAAAAGGTCTTACCTATCTCCACAATGTACACCAAAATGAATAAATTGTGTGCATTATATATATTTATAGTTTTATACAAGCACTAGACATAAGAGCCCGTTTGATAAAGTTACCTAATTTGTTTTATTTTTTAAAAGAAAGGGCTTTCATAAGGTTTATTAGCTTATTAGCTAAATAAATAAAATTAAAATTGCTACCAAATAGAGGTACAAATTACAAACACTTATATATTAAAAAAATGAAAGGCATCACGGGTGTTGATACTCTTCTGAAATATGTCTGCTTCTCTTCTAGCTTGCTAGCTAGTCCATCCGCATTTGGCACACAAACACAAACATACACAGTACGTAACTTTCTTTGACCAATGTCAATCTCTTCCTCGCCCCTTTTCCTTATCTTCATCACCCTCTTCCTCTACTCACCATTATCTCAGGCCAACCCCAACTCAAACTCCGGCGGCGGCAAAAGGCAGCCTCATCGTCAACTCTCTGTTGACTACTATGAAAAGTCATGCCCTCAGGTTGATAAGCTCGTCGCCTCCGTCACCTCCCGGAAGTTTAACTCTTCGCCCGCCACCGGACCTGCCACCATTCGACTCTTCTTCCACGACTGCTTTGTTCAAGTAACTATTCCCTTACCTCTCAGTCTCTCATCCAGCTTCCTCTATATGTTAAGATATATTGTCTCAAAAAATTCTTCCCATTTCTTCTTGGGAAAATGGAAACTAAAAATTCAACCTTTTAACGGTATTCAACAGAGAGTTGACGATGAGGCTGCCTTTTGATACAATACTCCCACCTTTTGATTATTTAGGAATAATCTAACCTTTGCACCCCATCTTCATTCAATAGTCCATGACCGGTTTATGATCTGTTGTTCCAAGTTATTTTCTTATCTTTGCAATATATTATACCATAACTCACCTTATGGTCACATAATGTTTTGCAAAGATAAGAAAAAATAACTTGGAATAGCAGATCATCAACCGGTCAGGGACCATTGAATGAAGATGGGGTGCAAAGGTTGGATTATTCCTGAATAATCAAAAGGTGGGACTATTGTAAGAAGACCGCTAAAAGGTTGGATTATTAGTTTCAATTTCCCTTTCTTCTTTTTGGAAAGTTTGGAAAGTTTTGTGTTACAACATTTATTTATTTTTCTCTTACCAATCACAATCATATATTTCCATTTTATTCTCAGTTTATTAAACTTCGATTCAAGTCAAATCGAAAAAAAATTAATGAAACGGAGGGATCGGAGTAAGTAAATACTCTTCCGTCCCAAAAACACTTCCCAGTTTTACTTGACACACTTATTGAGAAAGTGGGAATAAAGTGGAAATGTGTGAGTGTGGTTGAGTAAGATAAGGGTAAATGAATGTTAACCGCACAATACTTTCCAAAGAAAAGAAAAAAAAGATTTTTGGAAACATCTCAATATAGTAAGTGAGAGGAGTTTTGTGGGTGGGAGAGAGTACATAAGATGACATGAACCGCAATGAAAAAGGGGAAGGCTGGAGGGGTCTAGACTTCTCTATATTAGAAAGAAATTTTGTAGCAATTATGTATGTACAAAACTACAAATATCTATAATACACGAAAATTAAGTTGAGAGTGGGCCTGGGCCCTCCCTTGCCTAGGCTCAGATCCGCCCCTGATTATATATGTACAAAACTACAATTATCTACTCCGTATAATACATGGAAACTCTTTAAAAAGAAGGAAAATGCTTAGTGTACATGAGTTGTACACAAACTGTACACAAAACCCTTGTAATTGCCTTTGTAGGCAATTCATTTAGAAAAGGGCAGAATTTGATACTCAATTGCTCATGTACACAGGCAATGTATACATTTTGTGTACATCTTGTGTACACCAAACATGACCCTAAAAAGAATGTGTTTTATTGAAAGACTCACAAAAGTTATTTTTCAATGAAAGTTGCCGTTTGCTATTTCGTGATTCTCCTGAATTTTGTGCCATATAGACAAATAATTAAAAACATATCGCTCCAATTTCCTTTAATCGCAATAGTCAACATTTCATGTTTGCTAACGCACAAGTTTGACCATTAATATCTTTCATTTCCTATTAGTAAAAAATTTAAAAAATTCATATTTTGAAAATTTAGAATGAAAAGAATTTAACAATATTTTTTAAAAATTTAATTTATAATATATTACTCCGTAATTAATAAAATATAGTCAAAGTAGAATATGTGAATAGTGAAAAAGTTCAATGTTGCAATTAAAGGAGAACGGAGATAATATTTGTTTCTTCCTATGCGAAGGGGTGTGATGCATCAATATTAATATCAACAAGGGCAGGGAGTAAGGAATTAGCAGAGAGAGATGCAGAGGAAAACAAGGATCTTGCAAAAGAGGCGTTTGAGAGCATAAGGGAGGCGAAAGCAGTGGTGGAAAGCAAGTGCCCATCTGCTGTTTCTTGTGCTGATATCCTTGCCATTGCCGCAAGAGATTTTGTTCACTTTGTAAGTGTTCATTTCTCCGTTTCAAAAACTCTTCAAAAACTCAATTTTCAAATCCAATTGGAAATTGTGGATGAATGACTAATTAAATGACAACTTCAATTTAATTTAAAATTAACACAGTTTTAACTATTTGAACACGTCATACCTATAAAGTACGAAGTATAAAGTAATTTTAATTATAATTTCTTCATAGTTTCTCTTTCTAAATTAGATCTATTTGGTTGTCGATTTATTCTCTCATAGAAGATTGTAGCTTGTGGGAGGTCTCGAGTTCAAAACATAGAAGACTCTGCCAACGCCCGCCCCCGTACTTGTATGAAGAGTTGATGCACTTTAACATTAGTAAAATGATCATTTTTGACGAGAACGTGGACTCAGGGCCGTCTAATGAATTCAGAGGTTTTGGTTTCAAATGTAAAATCGAGACCTCACATTACTATAAAAAGAGAGAATTTCCTAAATAGGAGTAAAAAGGTTATGAAATTCCAAAATAAGACTCTCATGTTTTTTATTCCTTGAATATGAGTAAATTTATGCCAAGTTTGACATTACTATGCTTTAAACATGACATTTTTTCCCAAACTTAGCAGATTAATCCTATTCAGGGAATAAAAAACATGATACTCCTATTTTGGAATTTCAAAACGTTTTTGCTCCTATTTAGAGCAATTTTATATAAAAAAGTAACAAAATAATTTCAATCCAAATAATGTAATAAAAAAATTTTAAAATTGACTTAATATTTGATTTAAAACAAAAGCAACTCAACTCATTATTCAAGCAATTTGAGTCAAGAAAACTAAAATGATCAACGAAAAAATGGTGAATATACCTATTGAACCCCTGAAAAATGGTGATTTTTTTCTAAACAAGTTAAAATTTTTACAAATGTGCAAAAATGCACTACACGCCCCTTTGCTAGTATTTACTACTAGTACAAAAGTAATACTTCTTCCGTCCTATTTTACTTAGCTAATCTTGATTTTTCAAGTCAATGGAATCTAACTTTGATCGATTGTATGTTTATATACAGAAAGTATTAATAATAAGAAAATGATACGGAGTATGAAAAATGTTATTTGTTAAAAACACTATCATAAATTTATAATATTATTGAATTTTGCATAAATATATTAGTTTAAATAATTGGTTAAAGTTTATCATATCTGACTGGAAAAATGGCTAAGTAAATTGGGACGAAGGAAGTAGTATAATTAAAAGGTGTTTAGTCAATTCAATATTGATCGACAATGGTATAAAGTCACGTGAATTTATTTAAATAATTTGTCCTCATAAAAAACTAAACTTGGGACATCTGATATGTAAGCGCCCGCCACAAATCGCATTGATGTGGACATAATGCTTTTCGTGTTGGTTTGGTTGTCCACTTGTCCCGTCTACTTTGGCAACTTAAAGCGATTAATAGAATTAATTAATATCAGTTGTAGGATGTTTAATAAAACCTTTGAAAATGCTGGAAGTAAATATTAGTATTTAAAATTCGGAAGTACTTTTAAGTGCTCTCAATTACTCTTAAAAGCAATTTTTAGAAAGTTAGAAAACATATTTGTGAAAAAATGATTCGATTTTACTCACTTTCAATAAACTCAATTTTGATCCACGGCTTCTTTTGATCATATTTTCGAAAGGATCACATGTTAGCAAGAAATGATATTGACATTAAGTTGTATGCGATTCTACCACATTACAAATGTTGCAAATAAATTCAGGGTACAAGTTTAATACATTTAATTTGACTGATTATTTGAAATAATGGCCTCTATATTACAATTTGACTATTCAATTCCAAAAATATTACATTTTTTCTATTTTCCTAAAATATGACCATTGTGATTAAAACATATACGGCCTATCTAAAAAACAAATTCGGAGACCACTTCATCGTTCCAATGCATCATCCTTCCAGCGCATCATCGTTCCAGATCCGGAGACCAAATTCGGAGAAAAAAAAAACAGACCCGGCATCCAGTTCCGTTCTTGCGCAGATGGCCATTGCTTCGCATCATCTGCTCGTCGACCGTCTCCTTTGTGTCGCCTACTGTCGTTCGTCGCCTTCCATGTCCATCTCCCTACGCAAATCTTCTTCTCCTTCAATTTCTTTCCAATCACGCGTGGGAAGTCGGTTGAAGGGGCGTTACATAATCGATAGGGGGGAAGAGGCGATTTTCAGATCTAGATCTGGAATGGCAACGGCGGTAGCTAAGGTTACGCTAGGGCGGTGGTAGGGTAGGTGGGGTCATGGAGGGGATGGCTATGCTGCGGTGGGGTCAAGTATTGGTTATTGGGGGAAGTGACACAAGAAGGGCTGGTCATTCGTCGTCGTCGCCGCCGGCCAGGGGCCGGGGAGGTGGTTGTCACAGCGGCATGGCCAGGTTGCAACTCTGTTACGCAGGGGAGGGGCACAGATCTGGGCTTGGCCTAGGGCTGGGGAGAGGACTGAATTGGGTTGTGGCTAGCGGTGGGCGGTGTCACTGGGCGGTGCAGATAATTAAGTATGACTTGTGTTGGATGAAATTCCCTGAATTAGTGACGAAGTTGGGCGGAAGTCACTGAACAGTGATCGAAGTTGAGGCGGAAGTCACTGGACAGCGATCGGAGTCAGTGACCGGAGTTGGGGTGGAAGTCACTGAACAGTGACCAGATTTGGAGGTTAGTGACTGGTGAAGGTGGCGATGGTAGTTGGTCACTGAGCGGCGAAATTGGTGGCGGCGGTCGTGACGGTGGCGGTGCCGCCGGTGACAGCAGCGGTCTAGTTTTCAGGTTTCGGTGCAAGGCTCGGTGTTGGTTGTTGGGGTGGCTAGAACACATGGACTAATTATTAATTACTCCCTCCGTCCCTGAAAATATTTCCAACTTTCCCTTTTCGTCCGTCCCAAAAAGAACTTTCCTTTCCCATTTTGGCAAAGAATTTGTGGTTCACAGCAATTCTTACACATTTCTCTCTCCCCTGCACAACTCTCCACCACACAAAACTTAGTTTCTTAATCCGTGTGCCATTTGTACCACGGAAGTAAATTATGGGACAGAGGGAGTATATAAAAGGAATATTATTATAACACATGCAATATTAAATATAAAGAATAAATGACTCTTGGTCACTTTTTTGGAAGATTTTAAAACATGTTATACATTTATCTTTTCTATTTATTTTAGTAATATTGATAAAAAAGGCCTTCACCACGCACACATTTCTGTTTTAGGTTTGAAAATTTGTATATTCAATATCCATGTTAAATCAAATTTCGCCTGTAAATGGATACAAAAATGTATATAAATTATGTATTTATTGTAATTCATTCATCAACCGATTCATTTGTCATCCATTAAATATTTTATCCACATACAATCCATCCATCATATGTGCTTTGTTCGAGATGGATCGGGTGCATAACAACTTAATTTTTTTAATCGTCAAAACCAAAGCTATATCAAATCAATAAATCGTTAGCCATTCGGCTGGAGATACACTCAGGAATAAAATCATAATCAACACACTCATCTGAGATAGTAACATGTGCTCGCGCTAAAGCATAGGTAACATGATTCACAGATCTTCTACAAAAAGAGATATCCAAATTACTCTGTCTCCAACAACATCCTTATATCATCAATAATCAAGTGAACCTAAGACGATCCCTCATTCTTCTTTAAGTTCTGAACCACAGTAAGAGCATCTGTCTCAATCTCTACTTTTTGCCAACATGCCTCATCTGCTCCCATAATGGTCTCTCTAATCCTTAAAGCCTCTGTCTCCTCTGCAGACCATTACGCCCTCCTTGAGACACCACAAGCTTTAACAAAATTTCCTTCGTTTTCTCTAGCCACCCATCTTCAAGAATCCAAGATCTAACTCCCCCGCTTTGGTATACCGCTCCATCAACATTCATTTTTAAAAAATCCCATTTGGGCTGCTGCCACTTCGCTTCACCGTTACTTCATGTCTTCCCTATTGCCGAATCCCCTGCAGCTTCGTGAGCTTCCCTCCAAGCAGCCAACATACTTGTTGCCACTTGTATAACAATGGTTGCATGTAATTGATCCTTCCAGACCACATTAGTTTGTCTCTTCCAAATATTTCATAGGATATATATAAACCTGCTACGAGTTTCTTTATCCGGATGGATTAGAGTCCGCTGAAGCCACTGCTCGAACGGTACTTGTAGCAACTCGGTCGTGACCCCTGCCAGTTGTCATACCTCTTCCACCTTCGGACAAGCTCAGACAGCATGGTGAGTGGATTCCTCCGTCAGTCCGCATAACCTGCAACCTCCATGAATACTCACCCATTTTCTTCTAAGGTTGTCAACTGTTGATAAAGTCCCATCCAAAACCTACCATGTAAAGTATTTGAATTTTGAGGGGAACCCGCAGCTCCCATAGCTTTCCCCGCCCATTCCAGCCTCCCGTCTATAACTCCCCCATGAGAAGTTTGCAACAACTCTTTACAGAGTAGATTCCATTTCGCTCGCCCGATCACCAGAACCCATCCTTTCTATAATGCAAACTGATAGGAATACTCATAATTTTATCCCTATCAGCCTGATCAAAAACATTAGCAATTCTCGCCTGGTTCCAATTTTTCCCTTTAATATCATGCAAGGTTGCTACATTCATATCCCTTATTCCAACTGGCCGACTATAGGTAATTCTCCCCAAGTCTGTATTTGGCAGCTAGGAATCCGCCCAGACCTGTACATCAATCTCATTCCCCCACTCTTCTTCTAGTATTATTCTTTAATATAGATTGAGTCTCATAAATGCTTCTCTGGATAAAGAAAGGGTTATTGCTCAAATTAGCATTAAGGAAACTAGAATTTGGGAAATACATGGCTTGCATCACACGGCTCATGAGACTTTCTGCTTCTGTGATTAGGCCCCACCCCTGTTTTGCCAACATAGCGAGATTGGACCCAGATAACCCTTATAGAACTGAATATAGAAACTACATTATAGAAACTACCGGTAGAAATACATAACATTATAATATCCACAACCTCTGGCTAAACCCCATTCGAATCATAATCTCCTTAAGAAATTCCCAACTGACTCTATCATATGCCTTACTCATGTCAAGTTAGAGCCACATACCCTTCCTTTCCAAAGCTCTTACGTTTTAAATAGTGTTGGGTTTCAAAAGCCACGGTGATATTATCAACTATGGTTTTTGATTTGAGTTTTCTCGCACTTAAAATATGTAACAGTATAGGGTACAAGTACGAGTATCTGTGAAAATAATGGGAAAGTCGTACTCCAATAGGAGTCCTGACAGGTATATTTATAATAAAATAGCAGTTGCCAAAATACAAATATTCCTAATTAATATAAACAATTACACCCTCTCAAGCTGTGCGGGAGAAACAACGTGCAGGTTGTCCTTTTTTTGGAAGCAGGTGGCTTATATTAATAAGAAATAACATAAGCAGGATACAATCAGACAAAGAACTCGTAGTCTACCGTCCGCCCTTGAACCAGACTTAGAATCTCCCACTTCTAACGAAGCAACCAGATTCACCAATCCTGAATTGGGCTTACTTGAGCCAATGAATAGTAAACTAGATTCCCCATCACCTGTCATAAGTTCTAGAGTATTGACAAAACTAAAAATGACAACAAACGAAAACACACGATGTCCAGCACAAAAATCAATAAAAATAAAATCAAGTCTAAACGTAGCAGAAACTTTGGTTCTCCTCATGCACCAAATCTTCTCGAGTTTTGGCGGGTCTGGGAACTCCAGCCCGCCTCCGCCCTTTTTTTAGCCTTCTAGATCCATGGCATCATCTCCTCGTTGCTCCAGCTCTTGCTCTTGTGCTTCCCATTTTCGTCGCATCTTCTGCTCTTCTGAACCACTATTGTTAACTGTTGCCTCCGCGGTCTTTGATTCTTCCCCAACTTCCTGGTCCTGGAATCTCATATGGTGTTGCCCCCGATCATCAACGGGTTTTATTTGCATCCCTGTTTGATCTCTTCCTATCCCTTTCTCACCTACGAGCCATTTGTTGCCAATAGTTGGACGGGACCTCCCTCCCCCCCGCCCGAAACCACGGGCCAAAGGATCTCACAGTCTCTGTATCGCCTTTTTCATACAGTGATGGGCAGAATTTTTCAGCATGTCCAATGACCCCGCAAGCAAAACAAAAACTAGGAAGTTTCTCATATTTGAACTCTACCCAATACCCTTCCCCTTTACTCTTTTTCAAGGTCGTGCCTACCTTTAAGGGTTTCTCACACGCAGGTTACCCTTTAAAAAATGAAATTGCTGACAAGATAAACTTTTAGTAAATATATCCGCTAGCTGGAGATGTGTAGGAACATACTGTACGACCAAATCACCATGAGCAACTCTCTCACGTACAAAATGATAGTCAATATGAATGTGCTTGCTGCGAGCATGCTGAACCAGATTATCTTTTAAATATGAGGCAGATATATTATCACAAAATAGTTGGACAGGAACACGAACAGGCAGACCGAGCTCAAAGAGAACTGAACGGATGTGTAGAGTGTCCTGCACTGTATAAGCAATAGCTCTATATTCTGCCTCTGTAGACGACTTAGAGACACTGGGTTGTTTCTTGGGCTTCCAGGACACAAGATTAGGACCCATGAAAATAGCAAAACCTGAAGTAGAACGAGAACTATCCGGACATCCTGCCCAATCAGCATGAAAATACGCCAAAATACGAATGGGATGAGCAGAAACCTAAAGCCATAATCCATTATCAATAGTGCCCTGTAGATAACGGAAAATACGCTTGACAGCAAGCATATGAGCAGTGTGGGGAGCATGCATGAACTGAGACACTAAATGAACTGCATAAGTAATATCAGGTCTTGTCAAAATTAAATACTGTAATACACCTACCATACTGCGATACTCAGTAGCATCGGCTAGAAGTTCACCATCAGTGAGGGAGAGAGTGGTGCGAGTGGAAAGTGGTGTACGAAATGACTTGAGAGTGTGTAAGTGAAAATGAAGGAGAAGATCAGACACATATTTTTGCTGAGACCGAAAACCACCTTTAGAGGTTCTAACAGCTTGGACCCCCAAGAAATAATGGAGATCACCCAGATCCTTCATAGCAAAATGGGACGCAATACGACTAATAAAAGAAGACACAAGGGATGGAGAATTGCCTGTAACGTTAATATCGTCCACATATAGCAATAAATAAATAAATAACTGATGGACCCTGACTATAAATGAATAAAGAATTATCAGAGTTACTACATACAAAATTATGAGTAAGAAGAAAAATACTAAAACAATGGAACCATGCCCGCGGGGCCTGCTTAAGGCCATAAATGGCTTTGCGCAGATGACAAACATGATGAGGGAACTGAGGATGAATAAAGTCCACCCACGGTTGACGCATATATACTTCTTCAGTAAGATAACCATGAAGGGAATGCATTTTTCACATCCAACTGACGCATAACCCACCCGAAAGAAATAGCCAGAGTAAGAACAATACGAACTGTGGTGGGCTTAACAACCGGACTAAATGTTTCAGAAAAATCAACCCCAACCTGCTGATTAAAACCTTGATCAACCAAACGCGCTCTATGGCGCTCAATAGATCCATCAGAAATAAATTTAGTTTTATTAATCCACTTAGACCCAACCACATTCTTAGAGGTATCAAATGGTACTAAATCCCAAGTATTATTGAAAATAAGTGCATTAAATTCATCCGCCATAGCTTCACGCCAAACTAAACTTTTATGTGCCTCAGAAAAATAAGTAGGATCTGCTGAACTAACAACTGTGTGTAACGTAAAAACGGATTTAGGCTTAACCTTTTATGTGCCTCATACAGAATGCGTTGCTCTTCTTCCAGGAGACGGGGATGCAAAATGTCGAATGGAAATTGTTCAGGAAATAAAGAGACAGTAGTGACAAGAGACTGGTACTCCGGTCCCAAGCCAACTAGAATAGATTGAAGAAGCTCTTTATCCGAGACAGGGGAATTCATTGCAGTAAGGGCATCCACTAAATTCTTGATTTCCCTCAAATAAATTTCCATAGATTGAGTTTCTTTCTTCTTCATGTTTGACAATAATCGTTTAAGTTCCATGCACCGGGGTAAATTGGCATACATAAATCTAGTCTGAAGTCTAGCCCAGATATTAGCAGAATGTTTTAAGTCATGAACATCAACTAAAACATCCCGAGTCAAGGTAGCAAACAACCAACAGCGAATTGTTTGATCTACACGGAGCCAATAATAATACTCGGAATTGGGAACTTGACGATTAGCAAATTCAACAGTATACATCGGAAGTACCTGAGTAGAGCCATCAACAATACCAAACAAACCTTGAGAGACCAAGAATGATTCGAACTGAGTGCGCCAAGTGAGATAATCTTCAACGGCCTTCAACTTAATTGTAACAACTTGAGAGACAATAGTGATATGTGACACAGACTGAGCAAGGGCTGACATGGGAGAGCCAAACCCCAACTGATCAGGCGGCCACACCAAGCAGGCGGCCGCGGATGTGATAAATTCGCCTGAGGCTTGACCAGAGGTGGCTGCCATGTACATCGCTGCGGTAAAGACGGGAAAGAGGGGTACTGCTCAGCCGTAGAGAAGCTCGGTGGCGGAGGAAAATTCACAAAAGGCATTGATGTAGGCTGCTGCAGGGCCGGCGAATCGGTTGCATTGATGGGAAGCTCCGCCGTACTGTAGATGAGAGAACTGGATGTCGGCGCCATGGAAGAGGAGTTGGCTACAACGGCTGTGCTCATGGCAGATGAAGCCATGACGTGGGATGAATTCGCAAGAGGAGAATTCATTAGGCGGCGGCGGTCAAGAAGCATGAGTCTAGAGAGAGAAAAAAATTAGGTCTGGGCTCTTGATACCATGTGAAAATAATGGGAAAGTCGTACTCCAATAGGAGCTCTGACAGATATATTTATAATAGAATAGCAGTTGCCAAAATACAAATATTCCTAATTAATATAAACTATTAGTATCATCTCCATAGGGACGAACAAAAGGGAATTAAGAATTAATTAAATTCAACGATGTCGGCCGGACAGAACCTCCTATATAAGGCCTTATTTGACATTTTTTTGTAAGTTTGAGGCCCTATCTGACCCTTTTCTCATAGGAAAAAGGGTCAAATAGCCCTTCAAAAATGCTAAAGGTACCCCATAATGTACCCCATTTTTACCTCCACCCCCTAATGTGTGGTCATAAATGGGGCAATTCTTTTAAGTGGGCCACAGAGAGGGTGGTGGACACTGAGAATCGGTAGCAGCGGCAAAGGGAAGAGATGGTTGCGGCAGAGATAAAGGGGTGGCACAGAGTCATAGAGAGATGGTGGTGGCCACAGAGAATCGGTAGCAGCGGCAAGGGGAAGAGATGGTTGCGGCAGAGTTGATAACCAGAGCGGAAGCGTGAGCCGCAGAGCCGAGAGCGTTTAGAAGTCTAGGATTTTTTTATTCTATATGATGGCATAATGATAATCTAGAGTCATATTTAGTGAATTGCAAACATGCAGTCCTATTTACGCATTTATGTTTAGTTTTAATCCTATATAGGACAATCTCTATTAAACTAGTCCACTTTTGTCCACATTATAAGATGGTCTTATTTTTTGTTTTTGAGAATCATTAGTATTGTCTCTATCATTCTTTGTAGTAATATCACAATAATCATGAACCGTACATCTATTAGACTCCAAATAACTCCACAACTGAGAAGATTATTTTGTTGATCATGCATGTGAGAGCTTTGAAGATAGTTCGATCCTAAAAGTTTTACAATTTATTTATTTACCTATTTGTTTATTTATTTATTTATTTATTTAAACACGCAAGACAGGAGGGCCATACTATGAAGTGAAGAAAGGAAGATGGGATGGAAACATATCAATGGCTTCAAGGGTGCAACCAAATCTCCCTCGGGCCAATTTTACCCTTGATCAGCTTTTGAAACTCTTTGCTTCCAAAGGGCTAACAATGGAGGACCTTGTTGTCCTCTCCGGGGCTCACTCCATCGGTTTCGCGCACTGCAAGCAATTTTTGAGTAGACTATATAATTACAAAAAGGAAACCAACCAAACAGACCCTTCAATAGTAATGGATCCTAGGCTTCTCAAAGCTCTGAAGATGTCATGCCCGAAATTTGGCGGGAACATCGATGTTCTTGCCCCTTTTGATGTCACAACTCCTTTCTCCTTTGACAATGCTTACTATGGAAATTTGGAGGCCAAAATGGGTATACTGGCTTCTGATCAGGCCTTGTATTTAGACCCGAGAAGTAGGCCTTTGGTTCAAATGCTAGCCAAAGATAAGAAGAAATTCTTTGACAAGTTTGCTATGGCTATGGATAAAATGGGATCTATAGGTGTTAAAAGAGGGAGAAGGCATGGGGTTAGGAGAAAAGACTGCACCTCTCCACTATAGATAGCGCCATGGTTTTCAATTATGTTGTGCGTATTGTGGCTTGCAGCATGAATTAATTGTACTTTCTTACCACATAAGAAAAAACATTATTCTTTATGTAAATCTTTTATTCATAAAACATAAATCTATTTCTTTGAACGAATGAGTAAAGAATTTATAAAAAATAACAGGGGCGGATCATTGTAGGGGGAGCCCACCCTAGCCCATATTTTTAATTATAGGTATATATATGCTCTTAAAAAATTGGTGTTTAGCCCAACCCAAAAAACATTCAAAAGCCCAATTAAGTGAAAGTCTTAACGATTAATTTAAAATATAACTCATAATTTAGTCCTTGTAATTTTTTAATATAATACATCATAATTGCATATGCAATTGAATACACAGTATTAGAGAATAATTTCATATACAAAAGTTTAACGTCTTAATGGTCATATACACACACATATACACACACACACACACACACACACACACACACACACACACACACATATATATATATATATATATATATATATATATATATATATATGTTACGATTAAGGTTAAGCAAAACTATACAACAACAACAACAACAACATCCAAGCCTTAGTCCCAAAAGATATTGGGGTCGGCTAACATGAATCGATACATGATATCACAACCAAAAGGAAAAGAAGGAATAAAGATAAAAAGATAAGCTATTATGAAAAGATAATATAAAAAAGATGAATATATATATATATAAATGATAAAATAAAAAGGTTGCAAATAATGCTTATAAATATATATATATATATATATATATATATATATATAAGGATAAAAAAAACTACGAAAAAAAAAGATGAGGGATAAAAATTATCAAGATCACTCCTTCACGTGAATACCCGCCCTCCACTTAGTTCTCTCCAAAGTCATGCCCTCATCCAAGGTTAAGCAAAACGATAAATTAAAGAATTAGAACACAAGAATTTACGTGGTTCACACAATCGGGGTGATTGTGCTAGTCCACGACGAACGAGAAAGAGCAGTGTATTATTATGTCGGCGCGTCAGAGTTTACAAGTACATAACAGTCGTTTAAATAGGTCTCAAAAAATCTAAAAGAAAATAAGAGTTGCATGCCCGAAAACAAAGCCCGTACTTAAAATTTTCCCGCACACCCGGTCGGGTAAAACCATATACCCGGTCGGGTATTTGATCCAGAGTGTCTTCTCTCACGCTACCCGGTCTAGTAGCCAGGCGGGTGTTCTTCACTGACAACATACCCGGTCGGGTAAAAATACCTTACCCGGTTGGGTATCACTTTCAGAAAGTTACCAGGCTAAAATCTGCCAGGTAACTTTAGCCAGGCAGATTTATAAAACTAAATTAGAAAAGTGATTTTATTAGTAAATTTATTAATAAATTTATAAAATCTTATGCATGTGTCTTAAATCAATAATGTTTAAATTTGGAACGTAAATTTATTTAGTATTGCTTCAAATTTTACAAAATTCTGTAACTCTTCATGTTTATTGAAATAAATTTAATTACAAATAGTATAATTTTATTATTATAGATTCGGTAGCATAAATCTATTATATATTCTATTCAAGACCTTCAAAGAAGCAGAAATCTTTTGTTAAAACAGAAAATGATTGAAAAACATTGTTGTGGATGAAGGATATTTTCATGTTTTGTTGAAATGTTTGGTTGATTGACTTGAACGGCTGTTTTCTATGGACAAATTAAGCTTCTATTATTTTGTTTAGCTGGGGTAATTTAATCGACCTGTACCATGCTTTGAGAAAGAGTTACATTACTGATCTTATCTTAGTTGGTTATCAATGCTTATATATGGTTTATATTTATTCATGAAATTGTTAAGATTATTGTTATCTTTGAATTGAACTTCATCTAATTTTGTCTGCATTCAGATGTGTATAACAAGTTCATTTTATTGTTTTTTGGTTATTCCTTTTAATGTTTTATGACTATTTATTTAAATGTAGTTCCTTTTTTGTTCAGTATAGGAACGGAAAGTGTTGGTGTTGTTGGGATGTTCTTTGCTTTACTATGGCTTCCTATTCAAGTTTTCAAATTTTCTGTATTGACTTGGATTTTGTTGTATAATAAACAATGTTTGGTTGTCAAATTAGAACAGAAACATCAGACTTTTATTAATAATGTTAGCTATGTATTTGTTAGTGTTGTTTTTTTGTAAATGTTGGGCTAGAATAACCCACATATGGTAGGATTACAGTGTAATTGTATTCATGTGATAAGTAAAAGAACAAGTTTGAAATTGATATTTATTCATATATTTTTTGGATGTTTGAGTTCAAATTCAATTCTTTTACGACTATTTTAAGAAAGAATATGTAGATTATCTGAATATCACTAATATTTGAGTTTGAAGTTTTAATGATTAATATTTTTACTTTATGATTTATAATAACAATTAATAACACTTGACTTAATCTGAAAGTTAAAAATTTCTATTTTAAAATCAATCATTCAACTTTGATAAATTTTGAATCAATTATTTATGATTATTAATTTATTATAGTAACATACTTCGTATTACGTAGTACATTACAGTCGTATTTTAAGTTTTACATTTTACTTTTCTAAGTTAATAGATTTAAACATGTATACGATAGCATGTGAAGATGTTTGACTGTATAAGCAGACTTAGAATTGTTCTTAATTAATAAATTGATATCATGAATTTCCTGAATTCAATTGTGAGCGAGAATTTGAAACCAAGGTTTATAAATTCACCTTATGCTATGACTATTAATAAGAGTCAAGGACAATCTGTTTCACAAGTTGATTTGCTATTAAAGAAACCGGTGTTCAGTCGTGGTCAACAGTATGTGGCAATTTCGCGAGTTACGAACCTGAAAAGACCGAAAATTTTAATATTTAGATGATAACGGTGAACGCTCGAATGAGACAATCAATGTTGTTAACAAGAAAGTGCTTCAAAATATTTAAAATTTTCCTGTGAACTTATGTAGAGTAAAGATATGTACTTTCCCGGCTGACCAGCTCCTTCTATAATTAATTTAGGGGATATGTCCGGCCGTCACAATTTGGGGAAGTTCCCGGTGGAATTTTTTGATGAAATTTTTTGATAATCTTATTCATTAGGTCTAGTTTACTCATACCAAATATAAGCTTACAATTCAATCGAGAAGACATTCAAATGAATTCTTGAAGATAACTGCGCTTTTAACTGCGCAGTTATCTTCAAGAATTAATTTGAATGCCTTCCCGATTGAAGTTTTAGCTGAAATTTGGTATGAGTAAACTAGACTTAATGAATAAGATGGTCAAAAAAATTCATCAAACAATTCCACCGGGAACCGCCCCAAATGGCGACGGCCGTACAGAGCCTCCTATATAAGGGCTTATTTGACCTTTTTATGTAAGTTCGATGGTCTAGACCCTTTTCCCTTAATTTAGTCATTATAAATTATTAGTGATTCTCATTTCTCAGCATGAAGTTGGTTTCAAGGTCGGGATCAGGCGGACAGAAAGAGTAAATGGTCTCCCAAACACACACACGCATAATCCCGTTCCGATTATAACCCGTTTCAATTAAAACACCGTTCAAACTTTGCATTAATTATTCCACCTCGTAATTATATAAAGACTCCACATTGATATATGTACCCGTAGTTCTTGCTCCAATCTTTCTGAGCAATGACCAATGCATTATTACTTTATATTTATGAATTTGACTAGATTTGGTCAAGTTTAATTATGGGAATTCTCCATTTTAGTAGTTAATTAATTAATTCTAATTACAGTATACTCCAATACTCCATGTGCTAATGTGCTCCAATATAATTATATAATTATGGAAAAATTGAAAATAATAATCTCAACTATTGTCGGTCCGCTAACAATAAGCGTATATTATGGACTGTCCGCCAATAATTGTTTATGACCGCATATTACATGCTCTAACAAGTGAATTTTTAATAGAAATTAAGCGTAAAATTAAAATTTGGGACTATTTAGAGGGATTACATGTTATATCTCTTTAGAAACTATAGGAATTTATTTATAATTGGTCGCGTCGGACCATTATTGGCGGATGATTCCTAAAGTTGGGATTATTCTGAAATAATCGATAGTTGGGATTATTATGAGCGGACCGCCAATAGTTGGAATTATTACAATCAATTTTTCCTATAATTAATGTTTTAGCAACAGTGTACACATATTAAGTAGTACTGACTATGTCCCAAATTGATTTACAAATTTGACTTTTCTTGGTCAAATAGTTTCGTTTTGTTCGTTTAATTAGGATTTCAATTGTTAATTATATTCTAATTTGGAGTTTACAATTTTGAAGAGATTTTAATGTAGTTTATAGATATGTAAATTTTAATTATTAAAAATTGAATTAATTATTAATAAGGAGGATTGACTTTTTTTATTGGTTTACTAAAAAATGTTGACTTTCAAAATCAATAGTACAATATTATAAAATACTTTTTACACGGCTGTATTGGCTGTAAAATTTCACGATCTAAGTGTTTCGTATATCTTTCATTGGAAAATAATTAACATATGATGTGAAAAAATAAACATGGTAAACTTTTTTTTGAATGTATCAAACGCTATTTACTTTAGAGGTTATCAGTATACATGAGTGTTTTTAAATGATAACTGTTTCATTTCATTTCAAAATATTGGCTACAATGATAAATAATTTAGGGAAAGGCCGGGATTATTTAATCATCTATGCAAAAGTACATATGAGCAAACAGACCTAAATGTGGGTGCACAAACCAATTTCACAAACTCATATACATTAGTTCTATACATAATTTACAGATTTTTTAGATTAATTTTTCACGCGAATTATTTGTCATGACCTAATTTCACCTACAGTGAATATATTTATGCAACTCAATCTAATGTGTACAAATAATTGATGAAAGAAGGTACACATGTTTGATTTAAAAGAGAAGAAAATTTAGAAATGATCCGAAACGAAAATATCTAGATAAATGGATCAACGGAAATTATACATCATCGCTTAAAATTTAGCAAAGTTTGATCGACACGTGAATAAATAAAGTAAAATTGTGTGATTGAGGTTGATACAGAGAAGAGATAATTATTAAGAAATTGTTCTAAACAGGACTAAAACATGATAAAAACTCCAAAACAGGACTTGAAGTTTTAAATTGCTTAAATGGGACTCCAGATTACA